CTAGCTGCCACACTTGTCACTGATGCCACATGTGCCACCGGTGACACCCATGCCACTTGACCGACATACATTTCGGGCTGCTACACGCAGTCCCAAGTGTGAGCCGGCCAAGTCTTCAGAAAGCTACACCTGAACAAATACTAAGTATAGATAATATGTACCTGGTTTGTGAGATCCTTATTTACACTGACATAAAACTTAACTAGTAAGTAATTGAGACAATAATAAATTTATTTCTATAATATTAATATATAACTATATTTCAATCATTCCGTTTTTATAAATAATAATGAAATTGATTTCATTATAATTTGTGATTCATAGTTTTGAAATATTCTTCAATGAATGAATATATATACCTAGGGTTATATTTTCAAAGACTAACCAAATTTTAAACTTAAGTTCAAATATATAAATAATGATATACCATTATTGCAGTGTTTGAAAATAGCAATAAATAAGGCTTTTAGTTTTTTTAATTTATCCCAAATTGAATGTGATTTATGGGTAACAATGTTTTCACCTATCCATCGACCCTTACGAATGTGCGCGTGTGCAGTAAAATCAGTTAAAATAATGCATTACCACACATTTCTAATTTAGATTTTTTAGATAAAAAGGGCAGAATGTTTGAGTTTCTTTTAATTAATTTTTCTTCAACATTTGCCTATATTACTGATTCTGAACATTCTCTGCAAATTTGGCCGGTTATTGCAAAATAACCTGTATATATTTATATACTAACACTAATATAATACTGCAAACCCATTACGGAAAAACCGAATGAACCTAAAACATGTAAGCAACTGACTGTGAACTCTGAATCACTTATAATAATAATAATCATTTTATATTAATATCCGTTGAATACAATAAGGATATATTTCTTTATGATATTTTTCAGGCTATAAGAGTATAGTTAAATACTCGAATGACATTTAAAATTCATGATAAATCCCATTCGGTACATACGGTAAGTAATGTGCGATAGATCACACGGCTCCAGATGGTCTTATTCAATAGTGCAGGAGTCACAATTGTATATGTGTACTGTACTGTACACTGGGACTGTTAAATTATAGAGGCGTGAAAAATAATTTAGGCGTTTATAGCGTGTTCACACTCGACACTGTTGCTGTGTGACTATTTTTATTGTATTGTTCTGTTTACTTGACTTAATAATTGACTGCAATTGAACTCGTATCTTGCCCCAAAACATAGTTTATGACAAAAATAAATGTATTTTTAGGAATGTAATATAGTATAGTATTACTTTTTAGTTATAAGTTTTTAAACATATACTCCACTAAAACTTAAAAATATGAAAATGTTGTTTATAAAATATTTTTATACAGTTTAGCTTCTCGGCTAGCCAAGGTGATTATTTAAAATCGTGTACACAAAATGCGTACGCTCATAACGCATAGACACGTACATGTACGCGTGCTGTAATACAAGTTTGTGTGCAATTATAGATTTAAATTTATCTTGTCGCATGTTAATATCGGCCTACAACAAAGACTTCTCTGTATACGACTAGACGTTCTCTGCAGCCTAAATACTTAATACTAGTTTACGGCACAGAATAAATAATAGTAGGTACTACATATAAAGTTGCACTACTTTGATACTTCTTGCGGACGTCTTAACAGCCTACAAAATTATTATTAATTAGATAAATCACACTAAGATCTAGTGGCACTACTCCGGAGGCGTGGAGCAGAAATACGGTAGTCTATTTCTTCCAGAAAGGCGACAACGCTCTCTTGAAGAACTACAGACCGATTTCCCTTCTGAAACGCGTTACGTTTTCGAAAGTAATTACGCATCATCTCGCACGCAGACTCGACGACTTCCAGCCTCCCGAATAAGCCGGTTTCTGACAGGCTTCAGTACCATAGACTACATACATACCCTGCGGCAGATACAGAAAATCAAAGAGTACGATCTGCCACTTTGCCTGGCGTATGTGTACTATGAGAAAGCCTTTGATTCCGTCGAAATTTGGGCGGTGCTACAGTCCCTTCAGCGATGCCAAGTTGACTGTCGGTATATCGAAGTGCTGAAGTGTTTGTACAGTAGGGCTACGATGGCTATCCGAGTACAGATCCAAAGTACGAAACCTATCCAACTGCAGAGAGGTGTAAGGCATGGTGACATTAGATCCCCGAAACTCTTCACCGCTGCAATAGAAGATCTTTTCAAGCTACTGGATTGGAAAGGATATGGTATTAACATCAATGGCGGGTACATCACTCACCTTCGATTTGCCGACGATGTAGTCCTTATGGAATCGCTGGAGGACCTAAGTACTATGCTCAATGACCTCAATAGTGTCTCCCAACAGATAGTTCTTACGATGAACATGGACAAAACAAAGATCATGTTTAATGTACATGTCACACCTATGCCGGTATTTGTTGGGAGCATTAAGTTGGTTCGGAAAATTACGACACATCTCGTCAGATCTACCTCAAGACCTGAAAACTAGATTGTACAACCAGTGCGTGTTGTCAGTGATGACTTATGGATCTGAGACGTGGTCCCTTACTGCTGGCCGTATGAGGACGCTCAAGGTCACTCAGCGAACTATGGAGAGGGCTATGCTCGGGGTTTTTCTGCGTGATAAACTTAGAAATGAGGATAACCGCAGTAGAACCAGAATGACCGACAGAGCCCAACGGATTAGTAATCTGAAGTCGCAATGGGCCTGCCATATAGCTGGAAGAACCGAAAACCGATGGGGAAAGAGGTTGTCGAGTGGCAGCCACGTACCGGTAGGCGTAGTGTAGGGCGACCCCACACTAGATGGAGTGACGACCTGGTAGGACATGCAGGAAGTCGATGGATGGAGGTGGCTCGGGACCGTGCTTTGTGGCATTCCTTGGGGGAGGTCTATGTTCAGCAGTGGACTTGTGAGGGGCAGTAATGATGATGATGATGAGATAAATCACACGCGAAAGCTAAATTAAACCTTATCGCTGCACACGAGTGTCCGTATAGCTTTGCTTCTTTTCCCTTTTCTTATCATGGACGATATTCCGTTGTTACCAATAGCTTTTAACAAATAGTAAAAAATATTCATTATTTATTTTTTTATTTACAACTGTTTTACAGTTTTTTACCGTATCTAAAAAAATGCCCGTGCGAGCCTGCTGCAGCCACGATGCACCGCTGTGACAATGTTTTTTCTCCGATTTGCGGGACTACTAGTATACTAGATAGATACATATAGAATATATGAAGTAGAAGATAGAAGTCTTCGCCTCACAAACTTATTTCAGCGACTCAATTCATTCGATGTCCCGAGTACGTACTACTTATTATACATATAGTTCATTGCTGAAAATCGGACAGTGAAAGTGTTATCGAGTCCTAAATATGATTGTCAAAATTCATTATTTACTCTTATTCTTAACTGAAAAGCGGCGATTTTTTTAATTATATTTTTGTACTATTTTTGACATTAGAGATTGGAAAATATATATGTGAATAACTTACTAAAGACATTTTTACAATGATTAATTATACAGTGTAACTGGGAACTCAACAACTTCCTGGCAGGGCGTGATATGGGAGTCAAAAGCTATTTCTAATTTGTTTTGTGTTGTTAATTGTAAACATGATTGTAAGCTATTATTGAAAAAAAAAATAGTCCCGCTGTCCCACTTCTTGCTGGTTCTTCCCAGGACAGAGGTTTTTTTTTTTGCGAACCAGTGGTAAATGAAAAAATTGACTTTCAATAAATATTGTTTATAATCTACATTGAATAAAAAAGTTTCTGTTTGTGTTTCTGTTTCAAAATGCTACAAATTTGACCACACATATGTATTGCCGAAAATGAACAGGTCTTTCGTATTAAATTCTAAATAAAAATCAAACATTTTTTGTATGGTTTCTTTTAAATTTATTTATTTTCTTGAAGCTAACAGAATCATAAAAAGTACAAAAAGTATTCACAATAAAAAACTATGGGTCTTAATTAAAAAAAAAAAATTTTTGACCCCAGTGAATTCTCTTCTTTGAAGAACTTCGAAGGCGTATCTTAAATGCGGCAAGGTAGATTAGAACTACAATGTCTTAAAAAATAACTAAAACCGAAGTTAGGAAAAGAATCAGAACGTGTATCCGCAACCAAGGTGCTCATATTGAGCAAGATGTTTAATCTTTAAAAAAAGCTTAGTAAAAATAAATTGTTTAAGTTTAGAAATGACCCGCATTAGTTTAACTGATTATACGTTATGAATAAATATCTCCACTGGGATATTATTACTTTTTTGAATAGCTGATTAAATGAGACCTATGTTTGTCTTAAATATTTTTATGTCTCATGTCATGTCATAGTCATTTATTGAAGTATAACATTTTATGATACATAAAGTGTAAAAAACAAAAAATTATTTATTAAGACCCATTAGAGATGTGCCCCTCACTCATGAGGTGCCTCGTTTGAGGTACTTGTGATCGCAAATTGAAAGAGTTACTCGATTTTCAACATTGAACCACCGCACTCGTTCACGCGTCCTCACTTAAAAATTGACATAGACATTATTGACGCGAGTACTCGCGACCGAGTGAGTGATTGAGTGAGCTTAGTGAGCGAATGAACCGACTTAGAAATTCATAATTACAGTACAGAATATATTAGAGAATGAGTGAGGTGAGGAATCGAAATTTTGAAAACAGTAAACATTATGATTGTGTACTTAATGAAATAATGCGTGCGTGCGTGCGTGCGTGCGTGCGTGCGTGCGTGCGTGTGAGCGTGCGTGCGTGCGTGCGTGCGTGCGTGCGTGCGTGCGCTGCGTGCGTGCGTGTGAGCGTGCGTGCGTGTGCGTGCGTGTGTGTGTGTGTGATACTGATGTTTGGTTTGATATTATTTAAAGAGATACAAAAAATTGTGTGAAATGAGTTGCAAGGTAAATAAAACACACGAAGCAAATAAAAAAGCTGAGTGTCAAAGGATAAAAAGTAAAAAAACAATCGTTTGGAGTAAACAATCACATATTTGCGTGTAAAAATAAAATCATGCGCACTTTTTTACCATCTAATCGGTTGCGCCTGTCAGTAACCACATGTCCTGCTTTCGAAAAAACTCTTTCGGAAGGAGTTGAAGTAGCCGGAGTACAAAAGTGTTTTTTGACTACATCATATAGGCGTGGATATGTGTGCCTTTTCGTGTACCACCATAATACAGGGTCGTGGGATTTCCTGCTAATAAGAGGCTCATCGAAATATTTATCTACTTCTATGATTGCAGCTGCGGTCGGGTTTTGCTTTTTAACTGCATCTACAATTTTTAGATCGAATTCATCCCATATAGAAGGTTTTTGTATGTTTTTATCGCTTTGTGTAATATTTTCACTAATTGCTGATTCAGTTTCATTAATTGATGCAATAGATTTAGCCGCTATATTAGATAAATATTTTTTTTTTGCATTATCAACTACTTTTTTGTCATCAGGAAAACCATATGCCTTAAATCGTGGGTCTAGAAGCGTACTTACGGCAAATAATTTGTTATCCTCTACATTTCTAAACCGTACTGATGTGTCAGTAACGAACCGCTTCGCCATTTTCTTTACTGTTTGGGGAATGTCTTGAGTGGTGAACGCTTCGCAGTTTTTTTCAAACAAATTCGCTAAAAGTATTATTTGCGATACAGTTACATGCTTTTCTGCACTCATAATTTCAGTTACTGATTTAAAGTGTCGTAACAAATCACAACATTTCGACAAAATTTCTGTGTCGTCGGGGGTCAAATTTGGCGTGTTGGGATAATCGGTTGCAATGGTGGAAATCACACTTCTTTTTATCTCTAAAATCCTCTCGAACATATCAAATGTAGAGTTCCACCATGTTATGACGTCTTGTTTCACTTTTATCTGTTTCTCTCCTAGCTGCTTTTGCATGGCTGTTAAGCGCTCACTAGCCAAAATACTTCTTTGGAAAAGTTCCACAATGGTTTTAACTTTAATTTGAATTGCCTTAATTTCTGTTAAACCTGCTTGAACAATTAAATTTAATGTGTGAGCAAAACACGGTACTTGCTTCCATTTTAATAAAGGAATGGCAGCTTGCATGTTATTAGCATTGCCAGCAGTAACTGACACTACTTTTTCAATAACATTCCATTCGGTACAATTTTTTTTTTTTGTTAGTGTTAAGTCAGCTAAATTCTGTGCGGTATGGCGTTGTGCGTCTATAATGCATTCTAACATTACCGCTATAATTTTGCCGTTTTCAACAAAATGTGCTGTTACATTAACATACTGATGATGAGAAGCAGAAGTCCAGGCATCCGTAGTTAAGGCAACATATTTTTATTATTTTATTTATTTTATTACAATTTTGTCACATATTCTCTTACGATGTTGTAATATTTTAGTAATAACGCTTTTGACAGCGTCTTTCTTGAGGGAGCAACATACGAAGGACACAATACTTTTGTAAATGCTCTAAATGAATCGCTTTCAAAGATTGTGAAAGGCAAATAATTTTTGACAATCATTTGAAGGACCAACATATTAATAGTTTCCGTTTTCTTTAATGACAGCAGTTTTGCAAAATATTGATTGATATTATTATTTTGGTTAAAATCTAGAGGACGACGATTCGGAACGGGAGTAGCTGGTACAAATTGAGTGGAACCATCGGGGCAGGCGGAAGACGACTCGCCTTGAGACGTAGATGGAATCGCAGGTGAAAGAGGCGGCGCAACACTAGTATCATTACGATTATTATCATTAGTATTAGTACGATTTTCCTGAATCCCAGCCAGGACAAGGGGATGAGCTGATTTTAAATGTCTTGTTAAATTATAAGGGCCTGCACCCGCGACAAAATTTTCATACAAATTGTACATTTAGCCTTATATTCTCAAAAATCCTTGAAAAACTCCCAGGTTTTCAATTTTTTTACCGTTGAAGCCATAATCCTACCAAATATGTAGGAATGGTAAAGGTAAAACCCACACCAGCAGCAATCTATCTTCACCACACCACCACCAAAACCAAAACAAGCAAATAAGTACGAACACAAGCAAAACAATCCAATTTTTCGCCAACACAAAAGTCTACGTATTTTTCACAATCACAACAATATCAACGATTACTTCACCACACGTGCACCTCCAAGGTCAACATAGGTAAAGTAACATTATTAGGTACTCAAAACGAATTAATAGAGAAAATATTTTTATTTCTGATTGAAACTACTTTTACGGATTTTATCGCGTTTATTTTTACTTTTTATTTACTTTTATTTTTGATTCCCGACGTTTCGGGCGCTTTCCAGCACCCATGGTCACGGGGGACTGAGATGACTGACGTCCCGATGTCATTGTTAAACCCGGAGTACCTTCAGCTTTTTTAATTTACTCCGGGTACTTTTTTATTTAAGGTACTCCGGGTTTAACAATGACATCGGGACGTCAGTCATCTCAGTCCCCCGTGACCATGGGTGCTGGAAAGCGCCCGAAACGTCGGGAATCAAAAAATAAAAGTAAATAAAAAGTAAAAATAAACGCGATAAAATCCGTAAAAGTAGTTTCAATCATGTATAGTGTTCGCGTAAATATAAGAAATCATTATATTTTTATTTCTGCTATTAATATGAATCTCTAAACGTTAACTATGAACTCTAAAAACATAAGCATTAGATTGTTATTCAAGTGTCATTGATTCGTTTATTTTGGCGGTCTAAAATTTATGAGCGAAAGAAAATTACGTGTGTGAGGGAGACGTAAAAATCGGAATCGTAAGTACTCGTGATTCGACGCGCCCGTCCGCCCCGCTTGCCGCTGCCTCGGACAATCGGCTGAGTTCGGCTCAAGCTCGGGCTCGGCTCGTGAGATGAATTGAATACGCTGACGTACGATACCTCGCCTCAAATGAGGGGTCCCTCGTGAGGACCTCGCGAGGTAAAATGAGGTGCTCCCTCACTACCCATCACTAAGACCCATATTTTTTTTTGTTAATACTTTTTTGTACTTTTTATGATTATATTTGCTTGGTTAAAGTTTCAAGAAAATAATTAAACTTTAAAGAAACCATACAAAGGTAAGGTTTTATTTTTATTTAGAACTTAATACGAAATTCTGTTTTGAAGACGTGTTCATTTTCGCCCATATATATGGGAGTCAAATTTGTAGCATTTTGACTCCCTCGCCCACGCCCTGCCATGAAGTTGTCGAGTTCTCAGTAACTCTGTATTAGCATTACTCGCAGTAGTATAATAAGTCTATGGCATTACTACATTATGAGCTGCGGAAGTTAGCATTCAAAGTTGAGGTGAAATGTACTAATGTGTACTTCACATATGTATGTGACAATAAACTTCTGTGTAGTGTGTGTGTGTGTGTGTGTGTGTGTGTGTGTGTGTGTGTTGTACAGTTTTAAGTTAATGACTATTAATAAATCTCTTATTACACACTAGTACGCTTGGTTGTTAATAATTGCTCAGTTGTCTTGTTAGTGTCGAATATATGAAAAATGTTAAACCATCACATAATGTAAGATTATTTTAATGACAATGACACCCGTATTCACAAACGTTACTATGCAGTCTTACAGTGCGCTCGAACGCAGAGGGTACAGAAAACGTATTCATAAACAACACTTGAGGGACGAACGACACTATGCGCTCATTATAACGAACGCACAGATAAAGTAGCTCGCTAGCTATTTTACGCTACGCATAGTGCGACAAAGCAACGCAAATGTCAAATTGTTTACGGGTATATATAGGTTTTTTGATTTGTGATACGCTGATTTGTTTGATTAATTAATTGCGATGGATTACAGCAGCGAAGATGATTTTGATAATTATATCCTGGAGAGAATAAACGTGCAAAGAACGATTAGCACAAGAAAAGTGATACGTGACTTTCAAAATCCTTTTGATTATTACAGTGCCAATGAATTTAAAAGTCGCTATAGGTTTTCAAAAGATAATTTTTCCTTGCTTATCAAAAAAGTTGGCAACAAACCTGACAACTACATACCATGTTATTGTAGCAACTTCAGTTTTATATAATATATGTAGATCTCAAGGCATTGTTGAAGAGATAGATGATATTGGTTATACAACTACTCGACAAAACAGAAGTACACAATCATCCAACAGAGAAGGACTGTTATTTAGGAGATTATTTATAACACGCCATTTTTAATGTTTAGTTAAATTAAATAAAACGAATGTATTTCAATTTTCAAGTTATTTTTTTAATAGTTCTATTTCCATCTTAATTTTTTGTAATTGTAAATCATGATGTTGTTTTTCGAAGTCAATTAAATTTTCTTCTCGTTGAATTAGTATCCTCTCTCTTTTAAGCCTTAATGCATGCAATTCGGAATCCTGTTGCATATTTATAGTGCATCGCTTTATTCTTGCTTCCGTTTCACTGCAAAGTTTCTTAACACCTGTAAGACAAATAAAGTGCATATAAACAAGGTTGTTGCAATAGCAAGTGATTGATTATTTTATTACTAAACAGGAGCATCTGAGTTCAATCCCTGGCCACAGCTGCTAAACTGACAAAATAAATAGTTACCTGTGGTTGTAGTAGATATTTCCTTTCTTTTTTTTTGCTTGAGAGGGACCATTACTGCCTACTTCACTCATAAAATTAGTATCCACATTCATAACTGTAACAAAAATACATTTTTGATGTAAGTATTGTACATGAAAAAAGCTTATATTACTACTTCAACATATTATGATAATAATAAAACATACAGACCCTCAATGTACCCGGCACAGTTTTCAGATTCATCGAAGTTGGTAACAATTTTTGTAGTAACATTTTCTGTCACTACTTCAGGATTCAAAGCTGAAATATAAAATAATGATTACTGGACATAATACACACAAAATGCTTTCATGTACATATTTTGCTCAACGACTACAAATTGCTAGGAATGAAAGTCATTAGAGACAAACATAGGTATATAGATTCCTACAAATGGAGAACACCTATGTCCATCCCTTCAGGAAATACAATATGTATGTATATTGCCTTACCGTTGTTCTTATTAGTTCCTTTTTTTACATCTACTTCACTTTGTGTCAAATTATCTGAAACTAAAATAAGTAAATCATTAACAGGTCATTGATAATAATTATAAATTTTACCAGGTAAATTAGGTATTCTGACCATTTATACTAACTTTCTATAGAATTGGAGGAAATAACCCCTGGAACAGTTAAATTTATAAATGGACAAATTGCATCCACAACATTATCTGATAATAAAGCACTTTCTGGTGGTCCTCCACCTGTACGTCTCATATTAATTGATTCAAGAGAAAACTACTTCTTTCTTTGAGATTTTATATTTTCCCAACATCTTTTTAATCGTGTGTGATTCCTAGGTGTAACATAGGACTGTGCATTATAGGCAATCGTCAGTTCATCCCAGGCCTTCTTCTTTAATTCAATGTTTTGAGCGTGTGTACGCTTGTCCTCAGTAATGGGCCGCTCACGAACTAAAGCGACAATTAGTTCCCTTTCCGAAGAAGTAAATGGTAACTTCTTTGAACTGTAAGAAAACAACACGTGTTATTATTTGCACGAAATTGACAACGAAACAAACAGAAAAATAAAATGCTGAGATGAGAACTTACCATATTTTAGGTGATTTCGCATTAATTATAGGCAAGCAACACGTATTCATAATGAAAATTAAACGAAAAAGTAAACTATCTTTAGAATTCAAATGACGAAATAGGGTATGTTCCGAAATACAACGCAGTGTACTGTCCAATGCAAATGACGTCATGAATCGACGCTATACTGGTGATTCGTTCCAAAACATTGGACAGTATATGACGTCATACTTTTGCGCCATTTGGAAAAGTGTTGGCGATTATTTTGTCATTTTGTGCTACAAAAATCATTATATCCTCCTAATGGATATACCATCAATTATTCTATAATTTTTTGTATTTGGAATAAATAGAAACAAATTCTGTCATGCTTCATTCGGCAAACACACAATTAAAAATTGTTTTATTATGGCCGGATATCCGACACAATATGGCGGCGGCCCGCTAGTACAATAAAGTGTCAAATGATACGTCATTTGCATTGGACAGTACACTGCGTTGTATTTCGGAACATACCCATAATATCTTGGTTGTTGAGTGACGTTTAACTGTCATTCAACTAGGGTGAAGTCGCGTCACAACGTTAACCAATCACGGCGCCTCATTCAATGCTA